TTTTTTGACTTCTTAAGTTTGGCTATATTGATTTGGTGATATCTTGCTCATTTTATCTCGGTTGTGGGTAATTCAAGTCCCACGTGTCAGAATTATCGAGGCTACGTTGTGGAGTGTTCAATGAGTGTTTGGCATCCTTTGATTTTGGTAAATTCTGAGTTTTACCTGCTATGTTTTTAAAATAATTGATTAAAGTCCGGTGCGGATCTCACAATTCCCGTTTTGACTCCAAAATTGACTCATCTCCATTTTTTGTGATTTTGGTGTCTAAACAAGTGTACTAACGTTGTGATCCTATATTTGATAGTGTGGCAGCGTTGAAAGGCCGTTTGGAAAGGAAAAGCTCTGGCGAAGTGATTTGGAGCGCGCGGTCGTCCTTAAGGTAGGGTATGACTTCCTTTCAATCTAGATTGAACCTGAATGTGTAAGCTCAAGTTGATTAATGTGAATTGGGGGTGGGGACCCATTATTTTTACCTCTCTTCTTAGATATCGTATTTTAGGTTTGATCGACATTATTTCAGACATAGTACCTTGTTTGTTGGGTGGTTTGGATTTGTGCATGCTATGTGAATTACTTGAATTTACTTGATTTCTGATGCATATCGAGCCTTACCCTAGGATAGACCAGTGTTGCCTTAGACTCTCAAACATTGTTGCTTTGATTTGTCTCTAATGTTGTTTCAGACATACTAGATCCATGTAGACTGGAATAGTAGACTTGAGTCAAATAGTATGAGCCTTAATTTAGGCAAATTCTTTGCTTATTAGATCTTTTATCCTCTCTCTCCCTATTTCTACGGTTTCGAGGTGTTACTGGAGGTTTATGCTATCGTGACAATTGGAGATTGAGTTATACTAGGGTGGGAGCCTTATGTTGATATATTTGGGTGGGAGTGAGTTGACTTGACATGGGATTCTCTTTGAAATTGACACAGCCTTGGCACTTTTGTTAGTTAGGTTATGAGTTGGTTGGTTGCAGTGCTTATTTACAGTTTGAGGTAGTTATTTCCAGTTCGAGGATGATGTTTTACACTTTGAGGCTATTATTTCCAGCTTTAGATTGATGCCTTGGGTTTATGGCCCAAATTCTATCACCTTGGATTTGAGGCCCAAATTTTATCATTTAGGGTTCAAGGGCCAGCTTCTACCACTCTAGGTTTCGAGGCTTGGTTAACTTCTTTTGTACTTGGGTTTGAGTATCTTATTCTTGTAGTCTTAGATATTTTGTGTATATGTCGGGCTTCCGTTCAAGTTTATTTAAACTTGCGCACGAGGGTACCATCTAGGCTTATGGGGATTTAGTTAGGTTTAGTTTATCTATACTTAGATTTAGTTCCTATACTCGTGTGCCTTCTTTCTTTCTCGTTTTGACCTTTGTTTGCGTCTAGATTCTATCTTTTCAGATTATTTTTACCTTTCTTGCTCAGTTGGCCTATGATGCTTACGGAGTACCCTGTTTTAGGACATATTTTACACTTTGCATCTTTTTGTGATACAGGTCCTAATATCAGCTACTAGCGGTGATTGTTCGTGTCATCTTTTGCAACTGTGGTTCGGAGATGAGGGTGAGCACTTGACATTCTAGGTTTATCCTATCTCCTTGTACTTAATTTAGCTAGTCTTGTTGCTTTTGAGACATGCTTTGTTGTCATCCACTTTTGAGACTTGTAATCTTTATTAGACAGCTCTGTACTAGTGACTTCCAGGTTCAGGGAGGGATTTATGTATATATTTATTTTTGTTTGCTTCTGCCTTATTGTCCTTTGTTTAGATTATTTTTTTGGCTAGTTTCTACTCTTACACTCATTACTTGATGTTTTGGGTTATGGGTTGGCTTACCTATTGGTGGGGTATAGTAGGTGTCATCATGACTCGAGAAATCGGATCGTGACAAAGGCAAACCTCAACTTCTAGAATGGTGGAGGAATCGCTCTAAAACATTTTCAAAACCAGTGGTTCGAGATGTGTTAGTCATTCAAGCATCTTCAGTAGTTTTGGAGGATGTTTTTTGTTCAACGAGATTTCAAATTGGAGAGCATAAGTATTTATTAGCATCAGACAGCTTGTAGATATCATTATTGTTTAAAGATTGAATCAATGTCGAGTGAAAGAATTATGGGCGTCCAAATTTACCTGCCCAAATTGAATATGATATAGATGAAATGTTGGTAGATTGTAGTGACGATGGCATTGGAGGAACAAGCACAACAACCAATTCCGTATCATGTTACCAGAGAAATGTTAGAATATTTAAGACAAGACTTTTATTAAGGCTTCAGATATTAGTATGATAATTCGGGGTCTAATTCAAACACAACCCTTCTTAAAAGGTGGCTGCGTAGATTAGGTCCTCTAATAATATTTGTAACACAAATTGTATTATTCTAATTTTAATGAATAAAATTATAGGCTATTTGCCTTTAAAAAATGTATCATTGTCTTCAATTTAATACAAGTCTTTTTTATATATTTCAATTTTCAAATGTTTCAAATTTCAAACTAAAGTTATAATTTGAAATTTAAAATTTTGAAAGTTTATATACTATAAAAAAAAATTCAAACTTAAGTAAGTTAGTTATAGTTTGAAAATTTAAAATATTAAGACTTAGGAGTTTAAAATTTAAACTTTAAAAGTTAAAAATTTAAATTTTAAAAAATTTAATAAGTTAGACTTTTAAAAGAAATATTAATAAGTTATACATTTTGAAATTTTTTCAATCGAAAACAATCAATATTTAATTTGGTTTAATTTTTTTAAAGGGGAGGATCCGAAATTCTGGTACGGTTCTGGTCCGGTTCGATCCCGGTATGTACTAGTCTGGGACGCAGGGGCGGATTTACGTAGGACAAAGAGGGTTCATCCGAACCCCCTTCGTCGAAAAATTACACTATATATATTAGATTAAATTTTTAATATACGTGTATATATATAGTACTGAACCCCCTGAACATACACCAAAGGCGTAGCTCAGTGGCGTTGGGGGTTCAGGAATTCACTCTACTGCACGCGAGGTCGCGTGTTCGAATCCGAGCAGAGGCATTTCTTTTATCAGCTTATATTTTAGGCGTTTTAATTTATTAAAAATATAATAATGCAATTAGAAAATGATGTTTAGTTCCAAAAAATTAAAACGCTGATTGGGAATTTAGGATTTATTAGTTTAATCTCTAATTATAAAGTCAAATATTAAAAAACCCTTTTCTTCTTGATTCGATAGTTTAATCCGACATGTTTATATCCGATTCGACCCGTTTAATTTATTTGTGGATATTATTTATGTGATTAGTTTTTTTTTTTAACCCCCTTGATGAAAATCCTCCCTCCGCCACTGCTGGGACGGTAATGTCGTTCATTCCCAATACGTCTGGTACCGGTTCTGTTCTGATTCCTTCCCAGAAGCTTCGGCTAATGGAAAAGATAATCTTTAAATAAATAGAACCCCTGGTTGGAACCCAGGCGCTCCCTATTGGTTGATGTTGGTTTCAGACCAGTTCCGGAAAACACCAGGCCGGTTGTCCCTATTTCGTTCCACTGTCAGCCTTACTTGAGTCTAACACTTAAAATTCTGGACGGGTTAGATGGATTATCTATATTTGAGATCATTTTTTACACCCCTAATTGTACATCATTTTAATCTAAGAGTTTTAAAACAATTTATACTGACAACGTATAGCAATTAATCTTTATATTTATCTGGTTTGTTTTTTTATCGTTTGCTACAGAAAGAGCAGTGGTTTCTCAAGAGGAGTGTCTTGCTGAGCTAAAAATTGATTTTAGTTATTCAAGTATAAGATTGCACTACTCAATGGAAAAATTGCGCGGATAAGCAAATATATACTAGTTTATTAGATAACATAGCTACGATTTGCCTTTATTACAATTTGCGACCTACTTTTAGTTATAATTACGTGGTTCAATATTTTAGTTTGTATAATTATCCACTAACAATTCTTCGTTTGATTTGTATTTGTATATGATAGTGATTTCCTTTGGATTTTCAGTTTTATCATGAGATACATTCAATCGTTTTTTGTATAACTTTTTAAAGTTTGTATAAACATGTAGTTTTTGGAACTTGTATAACTTTTGTATTATATAATTTGTATAACTGTTAAAGTTCAGATATTGGCGTTTGTACAAATTTATTGTTTCGAGTTTTACGGTCGAAAATAACTCAATTATACAAACACGCGTGAATTATACAAATGTACCTGCAATTACATAAACGAGGTGCGAATTATAGAAACGAGTAAGCTATAGCTACAACTATAGCCCGTAAATATGTTAACTATAGCTAAGAATCCTAATTAAGTTTATTATAATAACTATTTACGAAATTTCTCCATTTTTTAATTTTCTTTAATATTATTTTCATTCGGCGGTGACACCATCAATTTTTATTTCTATTTTGGTAGGACTTAGTAAGTTTATTTACCAAGTATATAAAAATTATACCTAGTTGCAATACTCAAATAGATCCTTGTTGATCAAAACGGTTAATTTGACGTACCTGGTATTTGACTAAAACACAATATATTAAGTTTAAAAAACACAATTACATTATCCTTGCGTTTGGTTGTGAGCAAACTATATTTTCCAAGAAATGTTTTTAAATTTTTAAATGTTTGATTGGTCAAACTTTTTGATAAATATTTTCTTTAGAAAAATAAGTTTCTTAAAATTTATAGAAAATAACTTACTTGATAAAAATAGATAAATTGTTATAAATATAGTGAATGTCTATCTTTTAGAGAATACTTAGGAACCCTAACTTTGGGACCAAGACAATTTTTCTCTATAAATAGAGGGGTCCTATTCATTGTAAAATTAGAGAAATAATAAGTCTTCTTTCTTCTTTCTTCTTTCTTCTTTCTTCTTTCTTCTCTCTACTTTCTTCTTCTTATTATTTTATAGTTTCATAACAGGGTATCAGCACGAGTGAAGGTTAAGTTTGAAGAATTAATAAGGTATTATGTATTCTTTTGCTTTTAATTTTAATGGTTAATCTTACGAAACCTGAGTTTGTTACCCTTCATAGTTCGAGCAAGAACTACCTTTCATGGATGTTGGATGCTGAAATCCAGCTTGATGCAATGGATCTTGGAGACACCATAAAAGATGAAAACAAAGCATCAAAACAGAACTGTGCAAAAGCAATGATATTGTTGCGTCATCATCTTGACGGAATTCGAAAAATTGAGTATCTCACAGTTAAGGATCCACTTGTTTTGTGGAGTAGCCTAAAAGAAAGATATGACCACTTGAATATGGTCATACATCCAAATGCACGATATGATTGGATGCATCTGAGGCTACAAGACTTTAAGTCTATATATGAATATAGTTTTGTCATGTTCAGAATCATTTCTCAGTTGAAACTATGTGGAAAAACGAATAGTGAGACTAATATGATGGAAAAGACGTTCTCCACTTTTCATGCCTCGAATGTCCTCCTATAGCAACAATATCGAGAGAAAGGTTTCAAAAAGTATTTTGAACTAATTTCTCATCTTCTCGTGGCTGAGCAAAATAATAATTTATTAATAAAAAATCATGAGAAACCTACTAGATCTGAATCACTTCCTGAAGTGAATGAGGCGTACGCCCACCATGCTAGGCGTGGAAAAGGTCCCGGTCATGATCATGGTTGTGGATGTGGATGTGGATGTGGACGTGGTCATAATTATGGTCAAGAACGGAAAAAAATTCATGGTGTTAATCATTCATCAAATAAAAATCACATTCAAAAGGAAAAAGGAAAGGATGAGAAGCGTAGGGCAGGTTGTTTTCGATGTGGTGGAAGAGGGTATTATGCACGTGATTGTCGTACTCCCAAATACTTGATTGAGATTTTTCAAGAATCATTATAGAAGAAAGAGAGAAATCTTGAAGCAAATTTGATCTCAAAAAATCAAGTTGACATTACACTTGGATGCAGCAGATTTCTTCGCACATCCTCAAAAAAAGATAGATTACTAGATTGGTGATGATTTTGTGGTCATGAGGAGTGAACGTTTTGTTTGTCTTTTTTTATTTTATTGATAGTAGTTATCAAATAAAACATGTAAAGATAATTGTTTACACGAGTGCTAATTTTCTTTTTTTAGTTAATATTAATTAGTTTTGTAATTCATTATTGAATTGAATTTGATTTTGGCTTAGTTAAATAATTTTTTTAATATTTTATTTGCTTGCTGAAAAGAAAAAAAAATCTGCATCTTATTAATGATATTAATTACATGTACATTTATTTGTATTTCAATCTCGGATATTATTTGAGCTGATTTTTATATTTGAAAAAGTTTTGGAGGAATGTTTTTTTAGTCAAACACTAAATCCTATTATGTGCTTATATTAAACTAGGACTTAAATTTGTCTATTGAATAAATAATACAATTACTATAGTTTGTATTCTAATAGGTTTTGTATATTTTTATTTTTCCTTTATGAATGATGATTGAATTTTTAATATATTGAGTGTATTAAGTATATCGAAAATAATGTACTGAAAAGTTATTGAATATCTATTTAATTATTGTACACTAGTTAATGTGTTTTTCTTACTTGCAAAAATGTCAAGTAACACAACTTATTCGTATAAGCATGAAAAATAAAATAATGCATTGGTATACTATGTGCATGGGTTCATTACTTTATTAAATACATCATAAAAGATAGTTAATAATTTATTCTATAATGTTACTTTTACTTTGTAATAAAAACTTAATAGATATTTATTTCATTTTATTTGAAGATATGGGCAATTCTTGAAGCAGTTTATCTAATTATGAAAACAGTTGCTTGATTGATTTAGGTACAACACATACAATATTTAAAAATGAGAAATATTTTTCTCATTTAAGTATGGGCAAAATAAATGTTACTACAATTTTTGGCAGTACTAATATAATTGAGGGCTTTGGAAGAGCCATCAAAATTTTGCCTAAGGAAACTAAACTCATCATAAATAATGCTATGTTTCTCCCAAGTCTCAGAGAAACTTGTTGTAATATTCCGAAAATTCCTAAGTTAAGACTCGAACCATTCTTCATTTGTGAATAAGATTGTATCGAGTGATTCTAAATTTTCTTTTTGGTGTTAAGTTCACTAGATGTAACACCTCAGTTTTGAAAAAAAGAAACTAAAGAGAAATCCGTCCAAGTCACCCACTAGTTTTTAATTTTGGGTCAACTTCAAACAACCATATCTTTCAGCACATAAAAAGTTAGGTGGCCCATCACCTATCAAATCGAAGATATTTGAGTTTTCTTTCCAACGCCGCCAAGTTTTCTAAATTTCGAGCTCCGAATAAAACGTTATAATTTTTTGAGTGAAGCTGCTCCATTTAAGGCATTCCATTCGTTTTAGGAAAAAGTATTTTGGTCTTTTCCTCTTTCCCACTAGGCTTAACACGTTTTTCCTGACTCAATTAAGGGTCTAATTAGATTCTAAATCACCTATTCACGTTCCTAATCACTTAGGGATTTAAAGTGAGGTTCCAAGAGGAGAAAAAAGGGCTAATTTCAAGCGCTCTTCAAGACTTGTGGTTTTCGCCAAGAACATCGTTCTTTCCAGGTATGTGACGTTTCCCACAGTGATGGACTCATTCGTCCTCACGCCATACATGTAATTTATCAATGAATTCGTCCATGAAATCGTTTATTTAGAGATTCTTGAGTAGTTCTTGATTTTTGTTTCATTCTTTAACAATGGAGGTTTTGAGTTTCTTGAGTTGAGTATCTTGAGTATGACTTGATAGGAATTGTGTGGAATTTCGATGATTTCGTTTTGGGTTGGTGAATTAGAGTGTTTGGAAGAAACCAATCGATTCTAGATGAGTTAGGACCCGAAATTGAGTAGAAAATTCGTCAGATTTCTGATTGGGTGGGGTTGTGCGCCCTTTTGCGGCTACTATGGGTCTTCAAAAGGAACCGGGAACGGGGCAAAGACATCCTAAGAAGTTTGCCTATGGACTCTACCTCAGCGACCTTCTTCCGTACTTTCACGAGAAAGCAAGCTATCGACCTTATCTCCGTTAGTTTTTCAAGATCAGTGAACCCAGATGTCTTTCACAATCAGATCTACCTATACAGTAACGGTATTTAATTATGAAAGTGTACACTTGCCCCCTTTTTCTCACTCTTTTGGTGGTTTGTCAATTTGAATCTAACTTAACTTCTACCCCACTTTTTTTCTTTTCAGGCTAAATTGTTGGGACGGACTTTTTATAGGGATTCAAGCTTGCGAAATGCTTTATCATTCTTACTGAAGAGTAAAACTCAACTGGCGTCTGTCGCCGTTGCAGCGAAAATAACGGAGGATGGAGGAGGGGAAGGGGGGGGGACATCAAATGGATTCAAGTTTGAACAAAACAGGAAGAGGTTCGATTCCTCTTTGATGTTGTTAAGCCAAGAGCGCCAGGACCTGGGCCCTACAATTTTGGGGTTGGTACCCTAGCCTACAGTGCGCCCCAAAACAACCTCAGTAAATTGAGGCCCGGCGAATGCGCCAGGGTCGCATATCCCTTTTCAATTCCGTCATTCATTATGTATGTGTTCTTTCAAATTATGTCTACGTTCTCTTCTAATACTAACTCTTAAATTCTTCATTAATCCTTAAGACATTCTACATGTCCTAGTCACATGTCTGAATTTACATTTCAAATCAAAGGTATCTCAAATCTTTCCACTGGAGAACCAAACCGTAAAGTTAAGAGAAAGGTTCAAGAGGTCCTTTTCAGTCATTTTGAGAATTCTTTTGCAATTGATTATAGTTTTGAACTTAGTATTGAGGAAGTGAGTATGAGAATGAGAAGAGTTGCATTCATGATTTGAAAAAGAGTATAAGGGAACTGAGTAATCCAAATGTAACACTTTTACATTTAAAAGAGGGAAACATTGATTTCTAAATGAGTTTATGAGTTCAGATAAGTTGTAGAGTATTACCTCTTTTAAGAGGATCTTTTGAGTAATTACCTCAAATTGAGAAAGAGTTATGTTTTACACATTTGAGCATGAGTTATATATTATTGGGATTAGTATTAAGCACTAATATGGGGACGAGTTTAAACACTCCTCATAAACCATGTTGCCAACATGGGTAAATAATCGTACTTTTTAGACGACTCCTTATTGCTTTTAAGTATAACTTAGTGGATCCACTTAGTTGTATCATCACGTAGCTCATAGTGATGGTGTCGGTTAGAGAATCTCCCAAATAGAGTTAAAAGTGTATTTTGTTATATCACTTAATATGTTGAGTTTCAGAGATGAGTAAGTATTTTTGTAAAGTTTTAAATGATTTCATTCCTTCAATCATTTATATTCAGTTGAGTTTATGTTTTATCTATTGCAGTTTTATCAGTACAGTTATTCGTTATTCATCTATATTACATACTCGTACATTCAATGTACCGATGTCATTTGACCTGCATCTTTTAATGATGCAGATATAGGTTCATAGGATCATTAAGAGGCATCTCGTTTGAGATCACTTTGCACTTCAGATAGCTTAGGAAAGCCTCTTTGCATCCTGGGGGACTTCACATTTATTTTCTAGTCAATTGTTTTGAGTAGTCGCGGGTCTATATAAAGTAAAGGCTTCATAGATATACAATTTTGGAGATTATTTTAGTTGCGAATGTTTTATTTAAAACTTATGTTTCATGCCCAGTATATTCAGTTTAGTTTTGAGATTCAGTAAACTGTTTTTATACGTTTCTTTCAATTTGATGCTTATGTATGCTTGAGTTAGTCTTCCACTTGTAGTCAGCCAGGATGAGGGTTCACTTGAGGACCAACAAAGGTTCTCAAGTGCCGGCCACATCCAGGGTGTAGGCTCGAATCACGACACTTGCAGAGTTTAAAGATATCTGTTGTAACACCCCAGATTGGAGAAATGAAACAAATTCCAGATTTTCAGAAGTTGTAGGCTCTACCAGCGGAGGGCACCTACAGACCTTCAGTCGACTCACGGCTCATCAGTCAGCTCCATCGATGAACCAGTCGACTTTTAGTTTCAGAACCCAGATTTTAGCCCTCTGACATCCAAACGACGACTAACAAGACGGACCGTCAATCGACTCACGTCCCGTCAGTCAGCTTCGTCGATGGGCCAGTCGACTTTTAGTTTCAAAACCTAGATTTCAGCCCTCTAACAGCCAAATGATGACTGACACAACTGACCGTCAGTCGACTTACGACCCGTCAATCAGCTCCGTCGATAGGCCAGTCTACTTTTTAGTTAGGGGTAGTTGGGTCTTTTTCTAATTATTTTAACCCTAAACTATTTCATTTTGGTCAGTTTTAGCCTATTATTCTAGTCAGATTTTACCCTAAACCATTATTCTCTAAAATTCACCAAGCTTAGAACAAAAGAGGAGAAAGAGGCGCCCGTTTTCCCAAGAACGACCAACAAGTTCCTTCAAGTTCCAGCCCCAAAATTGAAAGATTTCTTCGTGAAATTCGTCACCATGTATGTCGGATTTCACTGGTGGATTCCTTTCATCCACTAGGTCCCTAGAATTCAGTTACATTCTTGATTCGCTATATCTTGCTTAGACCTAGGGTTTCTCAAACCTTAGATATTAGTTGTGATTTAGCTGTCAGAGTATTCCAAATCAGATTATCATGTTTTCATGGAATCGTTGCTTAGGTCTTTGCATGAAACTCAGATCCCTAGTTGTGTAGATTCTCTTAGTTCATGAATTACACATGCTAGGTCAGTTAAACAGATATATATGCTTCAGTTTTGAATGTCACATTATCAGTATATAATTGTTACATTCTTAGATTTTGCATGTTAGTATTTTGAGCTATTCCGTATTTCAGTCAGAATGTATCATACACATATTCAGTTGGGAGTAGGCTTA